TGGATGTAAGATACATTCTTTAAAACCTGCTGTGAAGTTCAGTTAGGCTCTGGAAGTAAAACATGGGTAGTAACTTGGAGGAGATGAGAAGCCAGCTTGCTTGGTAACTTGATAGATGTGACTAGATCACTTCCCGTTCTGTTTTTCTGCAGTAATTGATAGCTGTACAGTGGCTGTGGCTTCTAACAGCACACCCGAAGGAGTTCGTTATATTTCTTCAAATGTCTGCGGTCCCCATGGGAAGTGCAAGAGCCAAGCAGGTGGAAAATTCACCTGCGAATGCAACAAAGGCTTCACTGGCACCTACTGCCATGAAAGTAAGAACTAACAATGTTTTTGTTCTCTGATCCTGAATCTGCCTTTCGCAAATCCCAGCCTGTGAGACCACTAAAGGGTTTGCTCTGCCACAGCAAACTCTGGAACTTTGCATATTGCTCTTGGGTGAGGCAGTCAGGAATTCCCTAGGCCTATGGGGAAGTGTTACAACAAACCCTCTAGCCTTGAAATGTAGGCTTACAAGGTCTGAAGTGTTTAATACCGGATTTCACCTCAGAGTTTATGGGCTGCCTTTAAAAGCTCTGTTAAAGTGTGTGTATCTTTTAGAAAAATATTACTGGGGCAACTCGTGCTGGCTTTTCAGTTTTAGTCTGTTTCAGCTATTTCTTGTAATCCTTATCCGCAAATGGTGTTTCTAGAAAGTGTGTGTGTGTGGGGGGGTGTTCCTTCTGGCAAAGCTTAATTATACAGTCTCCAGTAATTGTATTTAGCTAGTTTCTTCAATCTGTTCACAGATATCAATGACTGTGAAAGCAATCCATGTAAAAATGGTGGTACTTGCATTGATGGCATCAACTCCTACAAATGTATTTGTAGTGATGGATGGGAAGGAATTTATTGTGAAACAAGTAAGTTAAACCCTCGACTCCCATGAAGACTAGAGATCCTGAAGCAGCGTTGGGGAGGAGAAACTTTGAATATACAGTCTTTATAATGTGCAGTGACCACCTGTAGTCTTGAGGCATGATTCAAAGCCCCCTAAAGTCAATGGAAATCTTTTGAGTTTTGGGCTGGGGCCGTTAATGCTTGGGGAGTTAGAGCTTCATTACACACTTGCTAGGTAGGTAAGTACAATTGGGGATGAGGGTAGGGCTGAGTCACAAAGGGCTTGCCCAAGTTAGCAGCAGAGTGGGAACTAGAAGTTGGCTCTGGTGGTCTAACCCTGTAGACAGTCTCCAGCAGAAAGCATTAATGTACTTGCTAGAGTAGCAAAATTGTGTTCGTTATCTGCATGTGGCGCTTGCATTTTGCATGTCTTGGCAGCAGACGGGGGAGAGCCTGCAAAGAACTGCTAGCCTTTGACTGACACCCAAACGGTGTAATTAGGCCTCGTTCCTGGTGGCTTTTATGCTGGGGGACTAGAGAAAGGTTTACTGACATGAAACAAAATGAGCTGTGGGGACACAATACAGAATAAGCATAATAAATCAGTGATCGCAGATTAAGAGCTGCAAGCAGATAATCCCCAACAGAGATTTGGGGCCAAATCCAGGGCTAGAACATGCCGCTGTCAAGCATGAAGTGTCTCCAAAGATGCTGTGCACTTCTTGCTCATTTTCTCTCTCAATACTTTCAGATATTAATGACTGCAGTAAAAACCCTTGCCACAATGGAGGGACATGCAGAGATTTGGTCAACGACTTCTTCTGTGAATGTAAAAATGGATGGAAAGGAAAAACTTGCCACTCCCGTAAGTCTTAGCATCTAACAAGTCTTCATCCACTTGCTGTCCTGCATTGCGAGAGCACTGGAACTAAGGCTGGTTTGGTCTTCCTAGGTGATAGCCAGTGCGATGAGGCTACATGCAATAATGGAGGAACGTGCTACGATGAGGGGGACACTTTCAAGTGCATGTGCCCTGGCGGATGGGAAGGAGCCACTTGTAATATAGGTAAGTGTGCTTTGTAACCTCCAGGGAGCAGATGACGCTCTCAATCTGGGGCTAAGCCCTCCCTCCCTCTGCACTTAAGTTGATGGCTTTCAAATCCTTATCAACTCTTGTTTCTGTTGCAGCGAGAAACAGCAGCTGCTTGCCAAATCCCTGTCATAATGGCGGTACCTGTGTCGTCAGTGGAGATTCTTTTACTTGTGTCTGCAAAGAGGGCTGGGAAGGACCTACTTGCACTCAGAGTAAGTCTCTCTGCTTGAGCTCTTCCAAAGTGTTGCCTGATGAGAACATTAGCTCATCCTGTTGCCCTCTGAGATTTGAGATGGAAACCAGAAGGGAGAACTGTTTGATGTAGGCTTTAGCATCACCTGAATCTTTGTTTTTAATGACATTCTATGATAGAGCCTTGACCTGGGCATGAGAAAGTTGCAAATGAGCTAAGTGGAGACAGATGTCGGCTTGTTTTCTCCTACATTCTTTTTCTACCAGCAGCCCTGTCTGCTTCCACTCATTTCTTCCTGTTAGATTCTTTACAAGGATTTCTTCCTGTGTACATGTGTTCCCCAGCGTAGCTAACAAATTTTGTGGTGGGAGCCTGGAATCAATTTAGCATAGAATTTCAGCATATTTTTTTTAAAAGTTAAACTAACTATATGTAGCTCAGGAACTGTGGAAATTCAGCACATCTTCACTGACGGCAGTGCTGTACTAGCCCATGGCTTTTATATTCATGTCTGTCATTTTCTCTTTGCAGATACAAATGATTGCAGTCCTCATCCTTGGTAAGTTATGTGAGCTGGGTGTCTCTCACGTCTTTTGCGTTAAACTGTTTTTTTGTATTACTCCTAGTGATTTGCATATTGGTGAACTGAGCTCTCCTGTCTGACCCTTTTTTAGTTACAACAGTGGAACTTGTGTTGATGGAGACAACTGGTACCGCTGTGAATGTGCTCCAGGCTTTGCCGGTCCAGACTGCAGGATAAGTAAGTGTTTTATGATTCTTGCTGATCTGACAAATGCTTATTTAAAATGTGCTGCACAATCAAAAGTTTTAACTCTGCTCTGCAAATCAGTTCAGCTGCAACACTTGTCCATATCTGGCATTTATGATTAGAGCCCTGCAAATCCACAGATATCTGTGGACCATTTTTGCGGCTTGGATGCTGATACAAATTTTGTATCTGCGCAGGACTCTATTTGTGATCTCTAGATTGGGGAGAGGGGCAGGAGAAAATTCCCTTGAAAACCATTTGGGTTAAGTATATGCCTAATACTTCCAAGGATGTGTCTTGGTTCAGCAGAGGGGTTAGACTGTCCTTCAGTGTAATCTTCCCAGTTAGAACGTGTTTATGCTGCAGAGTTTTCTGTTTGAGGAGGAAGCATGCTCATTAAAATACTTGTAAATTAATAATCCACTTACAGACCCTGAGGTGATATAAGTACCCTGTAATTTAATAATTACAGGTAAGAGGACACTGACCTATCTTAATAACATAGCCATGGAAATGGACTTATTCATAGCAATAATAAAACTGGAAGGGGTTTAAAGTGGTCATCAGCCAAAGTATTTAGTATGTGGGCTAACCTGCACTGTGTCAGAGGAAAAAGTGAGCAGGTTTGTTTATGTAACAAAGAATGTGTCCTTGCCCTTTAAGAGCTTAAAATAGCCATGCAGTGCCAGGTTCTGATCTTCATTAGAATAGTGTAATGCCAGTGACTTTAGGAGTTATTTCAGAACTGAACTGGGGTAATGGAGATCAGAATCTAGCTCCCTGGGAACTGTGGAAAAACAAAGACGTTCAATACAGCTGATTGTGTCTCTCTCACACACCTGTTTATGTAGAATACTGTTTATAACTATATATAACTTCTCCTCCACCACAGATATCAACGAATGCCAGTCATCACCCTGTGCCTTTGGAGCTACATGTGTGGATGAAATTAATGGGTATCGTTGCATCTGCCCACCTGGTCGCAGTGGCTCAAGATGCCAAGAAGGTATTCCAGGCAGCATGTGACTAGCAACAGTATCAGATCCAGTTTACTTGCATATTAGCAACTTTTAGTAGGAGGAGCATGTTTAAGAATGTGAAAGTTCATAAATACTAGTTGGGCACAGGGATTAGAAATCCAACAGGACAAGTTCTTGGGTTTTTAAAAACACTTAACTGTATTTGATCTCTGTTCTCAGTTACAGGAAGGCCTTGTATTAACAGTGGGCGAGTGATGCCTGATGGCGCTAAATGGGATGATGACTGCAATAGCTGTCAGTGTTGGAATGGAAAGGTCGCATGCTCTAAGGTACGCTTTTTACTGTATCTGGGTTGCATTGTTTTCAGCTATATCGCAAACAGCGGTGCTATAAAAATTCATTCTTTTTTAGGTTTGGTGTGGTCCTAGACCTTGCTTGATATCTGCCAAAGGTCATGAGTGCCCAGCTGGCCACACCTGTGTCCCTATTAAGGATGACCACTGCTTTACACATCCCTGTTCTGGAGTGGGTGTATGCTGGCCTTCAAATCAACAACCGATAAAGACCAAATGTAATTCGGACTCTTACTATCAGGACAATTGTGCCAACATCACTTTTACCTTCAACAAAGAGCTGATGGTCTCAGTAAGTAACATAGTAATATAAATGTTGTTCAGACTACTGAAAGCAAGCTGCCATGTGGTATTGCACAAAACAAATGATTTCATTTGTGCAAGTCAAATGTTGTGGAGAGCTTCTAACTTCTTTCAATGGAAATCTGCAGTATTGATCCTGATCCCTGCCCTGTCACCAATACACAGATTTTCAGCTCTGCCATATCTAGGTATCTACTAATTCCTGCTTTTTGGATACGGTGCTTTTTCAGAAGATGCTACTTGAAGCCCCTCCAGTCCAAATTCTCACTTGTGTGTTTGGTTTTTTGGTGTTTTTTGTATTTTCAGGGTCTTACCACTGAGCACATTTGCAGTGACTTGAGGAATCTGAATATTTTGAAGAATGTTTCTGTTGAATATTCTATCTACATTACCTGTGAGCCTTCACACCTAGCACACAATGAAATCCATGTTGCTATTGTAAGTATACTTCTGATACCCTCTTTAAAAAAATAAATTAAATAAATAAAAAATAAAAAAACAACCAAACAAAAAAACAGGTTGTGGATATGTGTAACACATGGATTTAATAAAAACCATAATTCTAGGCTTTATCAGCACTTCCCATGGCTTCAAGTGCAGTTTCTTCCGAGAGTGGTAGGGGTATCCTACTTTTAGATGTAACATAATGTGCCTGAAAGTTTAACATCTGATAGCAATTCTGATAGTTTAAGGTAGCAAAACAGTTAGAATTAGAAGTCATCCCTTCATGTCTTCTATTTCCTGATTGATCTCTGCCTCTAGATGAGCTTGTTTTGAATCTTTTTCTTTTGCCTTCTGGAAAACTCTCAACTGATTGCAGAGGCTTGCTTGCGATGGTTGGTTATGGATGATATAGTTTTGGTATCCAATATTAACTAGACTCCTTTTGTCTTAGAGTGCTGAAGATATAGGAAAGGATGAAAACCCTGTCAAAGAAATCACAGATAAAATTGTTGACCTTGTTAGTAAGCGTGATGGAAACAACACACTAATTGCTGCCGTTGCAGAAGTCCGGGTACAGCGGCGACCAGTTAAAAATAAAACAGGTAAGTTTTAAATTGAGACTCCAAAAATTCATCTCTTGTAAAGAGGCAGCTTCATCTTACAATACAACTTGCACTGGTTTTAGTGGGCCAAATGTTTCAAACTATTTAACTTTCTAATCTTGAATCTTGGCCTTGAAGTTTCTGCCAAACTGTCCTAAAAGAGATTTGACTTTTCCTCTAAAATAGTGCCATTAAAGTCATCCCCTTGTCACCTTTTTACCCTCTTTTCCCAAATGGCCTGCACCATGGAGAAGGAAAGAAAAAATACCCAGGTGCCATTTGCTGGCTTTTGATAGTGACAAGTATTGCTATGTGATGGCTGTTACTGTCCCCACACGGAATGAATTGGATAGTCTCAGTCAAGATCCTAGTGGACAGTCCTGCTCCATGACAAACCCTTCAGAAATTTGGCATTCTTGTTGACAGCCTTAAGCAGAGAGACCAAGGATTTCAATGAGTATGGAGCAAATTACCCTCAGGCCAAGAGATGTTCCATCCAGGCTAGGGTCTTTGGCAGGGCAGTGCAGGGAAGCTTGCATTACCATTGTGATCTGGGCTATTTGTCAGCAGCACTCAAGTGAATTTAGCACTCACTAAGAACTTAGTTTGTTGTTTAAGAAGAGATTGTCTCCAGCCACCCTCTTTCTGTAAAGAAGGCTTATGTATAGAGGGTATTTTTGTGGGGGAGAGTCTCAACTGAAACGTTTTACAGGTGAGGTTAATTGGTCTCACGTCTGTCTTCCAGATTTCTTGGTGCCATTATTGAGCTCTGTTTTAACAGTAGCTTGGATCTGTTGCCTGGTAACTGCCTTCTTCTGGTGCATTCGGAAACGCAGAAAGCAGAGCAGCCACACTCATACGGCATCCGATGACAACACCACAAACAACGTGCGGGAGCAGCTGAATCAGATCAAGAACCCCATTGAGAAACACGGCGCGAACACGGTCCCCATCAAAGACTATGAAAACAAGAACTCCAAAATCGCCAAAATAAGGACACACAACTCAGAGGTGGAGGAAGACGACATGGACAAGCACCAGCCGAAGAGCCGCTTTGCCAAACAGCCAGCGTATACGCTGGTAGACAGAGATGAAAAGCCCCCCAATAGCACTCCGACAAAACACCCGAACTGGACAAACAAACAAGACAACAGAGACTTGGAAAGTGCACAAAGTTTAAATAGGATGGAGTACATTGTATAGCAGACAGCGGGTGCTGCCATGCAGGGCCTTTCAATATCATTATAAGGCACTCAGAGCTTGTAGTTCTTAAACTGTTGTGTAATATTTGAGTCTAAGGCTATTATTTACTTAGAATCCCTGTGTTAATTTAAGTTTTGACAAGCTGGCTTACACTGGCAATGATAGTTGCTGTGGTTGGCTGGAATACCAAGTGCTGCATTTCACATCTATGCAAAACTAGTCAAAAGTGCCCTAATGTAAATTCAGCTGTAGCTGATACATCATGGAAATGTTTCATAAGGTATTGCATAGCCTTATTAGGTCCTCTTTAGTGTCAACTTTCTTTTTGCCAGATGTGTCCTGATTTATACATTTATAGAAAATACATTTTATTTATTTATTGAATCTGAGTTTTTTGTATATTGGTTTTATGGTGACGTACAACTAGTTCTGTATTTGAAAGTGCCTTTGCAGCTCAGAACCACAGCAACTATCAAAAAATAAGTTTATTTATTTTTTTATTGTATTTTTGTTGGGGTGGGAGGGGACTTGATGTCAGCAGTTGCTGGTAAATGAAGAATTTAAAGAGGAAAATGTGTTAAAAGTAGAAGTTTGTATAGATATGTAAATAATTCTTTTTTATTAATCACTGTGTATATTTGATTTATTAACTTAATAATCAAGAGCCTTAAATATCATTCCTTTTTATTTATATGTATGTTTAGAGTTGAAGGTTTTTGATAGCATTGTAAGCTTGTGGCTTCTTTATTTTGAATTTATTTTCTTGTTACATGTTGCCTATATGCCAAAATTAAGGTGTTCTAAAAATAGTTTATTTTTAACAATAGGACAGGCTTTCATGCCTTGATACGGTTTTGTTTTTTGTACAATGTCAAATGTTTCAAACACCTTCCATAGTATCACTTTAAGACTATTTGTAAGTACTGACTGAGGCAGTTTAGATTAGAACAATATTTTTTTTAATTTTTTTTTTTGCTGCTTTAGACTTGAAAAAGAGTGACAGGCAGATAATCTGCTACAAAGCAGTTTAAGGGAACAAAAATGAGCTATAACTCTTATGTAGATGAAATGTGAGTGGTTGCATGTAATTAATTAAAATATCAAAATAGCGTGTGAAGTTGGAAGCACAGCAATCTCATTTTGTAAATTCTGATTTTTTTCACCATGAATATTGTAATACTGAACCACTTGTAGATTTGATTTTTTTTGTAATCTACTGCATTTAGGGAGTATTCTAATAAGCTAGTTGTTGAATACTTGAACAGTAGAATGTCCAGTAAGATCACTGTGTAGATTTGCCATAGATTACACTGCCCGCCTTAACAAGTGAGGAAATCGAAGTGCTATTACAATGTTAAGATCAAAAAGGCTTATAAACCTAGTAGTCTCATTGGTTAACCAGTGAGATCATGAAGATACCTTGTGATATTAGTGTTATATGAACATGAAAATGCATCTTTGATGTGTTTTTGTTCCTGGCAATAAATCTTAAAAAGTAATATTTATTAAACTTTTTGTATGAAAACATGAAACAGCGTGGCGGTTATTAAGCTTCAGTGAGGCACTTCCAGCTAGCTTTGTCACCCCAAAGGTTTATTAGTCAATAGTGATGGCCAGTGATAAGCTAGTGAGAGAAAGGATAGATGAGCTATGTACTCAAGGGCCTGATCCAAACACTACTGAAATCTATAGAAAGACTCCCACTGATTTTCAGTGGGCTTTAAATCAGGCCTAGGCTGCTTAAGTCTACTGTGTTGTAAGCTTTCATGCACTGCAGTTGTGAGACTCCCTGAAGGGGTGAAGAGAGGCATGCCCATCATAGCCTTGGGCTCTCTTAGGTGTTGGCAATGGTGGGTTGTGATGTAAGCAGTTGGGCTTGCACCACAAACTCACTTCACATGGGCCATGGAACAGCTCAGCCAGATTCAAACCTGGGCAGGTAAAGCTCCACAAAAATTCTAATCTTCCTCCTTCGTTTCCAGAAAGCACAACAGCTGTTTTTGAAGTAACAAGTACTCCATAAGGAATTACACTTGCTTACATGTGGTGTTGGGCAGTTAGTGCAGTGAGTGTCCATAAAGGCAGCAGCCCTATTTGCATTACTCTTGTTTGACTGGCTCCATTGCTGATGGCATAAAACTGGATGAATTCTACCAAAATCAATAGAGTTACTTGAATTTTTATGCTGGTGTAGTGGTTAGAGGGGTAGCTGAGAGGACCTATTTTTTCTGATATTTACCATGGAAACCTTGTGGTAATGTTGAGCCTGATTTGCCCTGGCCTAGTGTAATCACACTCAGAGCAAAGGTGTAAGACACTGCAACCCTCATTCTGCTAGTGTTAGACCTAGACTGCACTAGTGTGAAGTGCAGACACTGCAGGACCAGGCTCATTATCTTACAATATCGGAGGGATTTCTTATCTGAAAGAGAACTCAATATAAACTGTAAAATTCTAGTATTACGCAAGGAATTTCTAGTAGGATCTCATTGAAACAAAAAATATCTAGAAACACTGGCAACACTCAAAACTTAACTTTCTGCCTTAGATGATCATTTAAAGTACAACTTTTTTCCATTCACAAAGTAAACTTTCTAGCTTGTCACTGTATAACCAACTTGAAAGTGCTCTAGTCTTCACAATCACATGTCACATTACTGACTCATTGCAACACCAGAGAATTGTCAATTTGCTACTTACCGAATGGAAGTCAATAAGATGAGCTATGGAGCAGCCTGCCACCACCTCTGCAAAGCTTGTGGTGAGTTCCCAGCAGCACTAAAAAACCAGAATATTTAGTGCAATTCATTTGTCTAGGCCACATCCACTTCCACAAACAGAGCTCTTTTTAAAACTGCTTAAAGGGAACTGGCAGCCCTCTTGCACAGCAATCTGAAATTGAGTAACTAAGTACTTTGAGCTAGGATTGGTTTTTTCAGTTAACATCTGTATGTTTAATGGGGTTAGCCATCTTACCGCAAAGCAGCGCCACTGAAGATTTTGGACCTAAGGTAAGCCAGGAACTTGCCTTTACTAATTTAACAACAATTAAATGTTTGCCTCCTGTGAGTAGGCCAGTAGACTCCCAGTGTGACTAAGAATAGCAGTTTTAATCCCACTTTCTCCTTTTTAAACCAAAAACTGGGTTAGCACTTTGCATTAGGTTCTGCCTCTGCTTGTCTCAAATAACATCCATTTAATGGCCATGTCTACAGGTTCAAACTATTTCACAAGAGGTAACAAGTTCTTTTTTAAGATCTAGGCTGAGCAAACTCTAAATGAAACATAATGAAAGTTTCTAGACTTAATGAGTGTCAGTCAAGTGTTTTGTACTGAGATTCTTGTATGAAACCTACCATGTAACTAAAGAGGGAAAGTTTTATACTGTCTAGGTGGGACATTTGCTAAACAAAGGGCCCATTTTTCAGTCTAATATAAAAGACTGGACTTCATGTATCTGTAATACCATCTCTGAGCAGAGGATGCTTCTTATTCATAACCAGATAATCAAATTATGGGAGGTTGCCATAGAGAAACCTTGCACTATATGCTCATTGTGACTAAGTGGTAGCAACACAATTTACAGTGGTGAATTCAGAACATGATACAGCCAGGAGCGGGGGAGCTGGTCTCTTCTATTGTAAAAATAAATAGGGATGCAGAAGCTTTTTTTCACATGGCAAAAATAAAGCCCACATTTATTTATTTTTTTTTTTTTTTGTGGAAGTTACTTTGCCAGTGTATTGGGCTGGGCAAATACACAGTTTTGGTCAGGAGCAGCCTCCTGCTGCTGGAGTATGTTTATGCTTATTCAGCTCAGCATTGAAACAAGTCTACTGCCTGAGTTAGTTTTTAAAAATACAACTATTAAAAATACAAACTTTATAAAACAATTAAATTATTCTCCATTGCTCTGCATCAGTGGAGCTGTAGCTGCAACCAGATTAACCTATAAACTGGTTTGTTTACACTTGCACTGAATACAGCAAAGTCACTGCCCCTTAATATGGAAAATACTGTCCAGCTTATATAGAGGCAGGCATTTCTAAAACCATTCAATGTATTAAATAACCTTTAATTCTAAGATTCTTGTCTCCAAGGGGTGGGGAAAGGTACTTTCTTCTGTGAGCAATTATTTCCCCACTGTTAATGTATGCAAATTGCACTTGATGTTGTAAACTTATAGCAATACCATTGTCTAGCAACTCTAAAGTGCATAAGCAGGCTCAATGGCAGCTTGCAAACACCTTCAGTGGGGTGATGTGTATCTTCCTTCATTAGATAGCATACCAACAGCACTTGCTCTTGTACTTACTGAAGCATGTGCATGGCAAGAGCTAGTATTTGCTCATGAAGCAGCTCCCTGCCACTACAGGTAACTCTGCCCACTTCTCCTTAGAGGTAGCATCATGCAGCTTCTCACCTGTCACCCAGTTTGAGCCCTCTTGGTGTTGGCTGGGTGCCTTCGATGCTGGTTAGCCACTCTAAGCATTAGGGCCCCAATGGTAAAGGGTGAGGTAAAGCTGCAGCCCACTCCACTAGCTGGCGACAGCTCCCTGGACTTCTGACAAGGTATCAAGAACTCTCTGCAACAGTGGCCAGGGGCTTTCCCCCAGCTGGCTTGTCAGTGTGGCTTAGGTGGACACTGTTCACTGCCACCTCTGCTCGGGCAGCCAGTGTTTCACAATGGCAGGTGTGGTTAGCATGGCTCTCTCTTTCCATCATGGAAGGGTGCTTCTCCTCTCACTGCAGCCTCAGAGGGAAGCTGGCAGCTGCTCTTTCCTCCTGCAGACCACCGCTCTGGAGCCCTGCTATGCTGCGCACCTAGCCTCACAGGCAGAGCCCCTGCTTTAGTCCTGTACCACAGGAAGCCCTGTGGGACCAGGTCAGGGGCACAGCCTAAAGCTTTTATTTATGCCATGAAGCCTGGGAATTCTCATACAGATGAATGAGGACTGGTCTCCACCCCATCCTGTGAACAAGGCTCTTCCACATCCACCCCTTTCTCCCTGTGAAGATGGAACAGGCCATATTGGCTCCTCCCCCTAAAATGAGGAGCAGGATCCTCCCAAACATAGACTGATGATATTCCAGGGTTCCCTGTCATTGCTGGGGATGGGGGCAGAATCTCTTCCTCCTCAACCTCTCATCTAGGTCAGGGGAGACTTAGATCATAAGGAGGAAGGTCCATGTCAATCTCCCCTCTACAGAATTTTCCAAATTAGGAGGTGGACAAAGCCATCAGTCCCAAAAAGCAATTCCCTAACAGAAGGGGAAAGGGGGAAAAAAAAAAGTCCCAACAAGGTGTTCGCCTTTTCCCTGGGGAAAAATCACAGATTCTGAGTGGCCTCACCCAGAATGCTGGAGGTCCATCAAATAAATGTGTCAAGCTGTTAAAGGCTTAAAGGCACTTGCCAGAATGCAGGGTCCACTGGAAAGTGCACTGGATTGGATTCTGCTCCCACTTCTAACACTGAATTGCTCTGTCACCTTGGGCAAGTCACTTTGCTCCTGTATTCAATGGAAAAACTGATCTTTGTCCTCCTCTGTAAAGTGCTTTCTGATCAACACACCAAAAAAAAAAAATTATCCTTTTACATACTATTTTTACTTCAGCCCATCTTAGAACGGCCATACTGGGTCAGACCAAAGGTCCATCTAGCCCAGTATCCTCTCTTCTGACAGTGGCCAATGCCAGGTGCCCTAGAGGGTATGAACAGAACAGGTAATTGCCAAGTGATCCATCCCCTACCGCCTGTTCCCAGCTTTTGCAATCAGAGGCTAGGGACACCATCCCTGCCCATCCTGGCTAATAGCCATTGATGGACCTATCCTCCATGAATTTATCTAGTTCTTTTTTGACTTCCCCTAGAAACACAAAAAACAATCAACCCATCCCAACACCTTTGTCCTATTCAGCGAGATGTGTCATATGCCATTCAAAAGCCCATGAGATGTAAACATCAAAAATCTGCTAGCACTCAACTCATATAACCGACATGCAGATTTCTTACTGGGAAGGCAACTTACTTGAGGAGTCAGTCTTACTGGGCAGTTTACTTTGCACAGCTCACTTGAGCACAAGTTTCCTTTAGCAGAGCCACAGATAGTGACAAGTGGAGTTTTCTGCCGATTCTGTTCTTTTGGTGGAAACAAAATAAATGATTTTCTTGCAGTTACTATGAGCCAAGAAAAACAACTGAAATGGGTGCTGTACAATTACAAACACACACAAATACATAGTTAGTCTGATCCTTGATATACAGAAATGTGACTTCTGACATGTAGACTAACCAGAACTAGCACATGATTTATTACTCCTATGATAAGACCTCTGATAGCTGTATAATATTCCTGCAAACTACCATTGACCAAAAGTGAACTTATTTTAGCAGCTTTCTCTTCATACATAAAACTTGTAAAGGCCAAGCCAGCCTTTGATCTAAGACATTTACTAAGTTTAAAATTTTAACAGCTTTAATGTTAAAAACACAAAAAGGATAGTTTTCAGACATTACAGATTACCAAACTTTGAAAGAACTGCTTTATTATGTGTGTATTCAAGAAATCACAGCAGTTAAAAGTTTCCTGGATGATACATTTTTAGGGCAAGGAGGTCTCATTCTTTACAACAAATACATATTTTTAAGCATGATTTTTGCATTTCCTGGGGTTGGCCAGTCAGTTTCTCACAGCCTTAACCTTTCCCTGGACCTCTCTTGACAGATCTCTGCCAGCTGTGCTGGCAGTAGAAATTTCTAGCAAATTATGCCCTTCAATTTTTTCAGTTCTCACAGTGATTTGAAGTCCTACTTTAAAAAAGAGGGTATCACAGAAAGTATCACAGAAAGTATTTATTATTTCATGCAAAGTGGTTCATCATCACTGCAGAATACAACTGAGTCCTTAATATTACCTTTACCTGGAAGTATACTAAACATGTTCTGAAGCAAATTTTCTGGAAAATTAGGGTCCCAATAATCCACGCTGCTAGCTCATAATCTGTTGACCACGAAAAACATTTCTTACATTTTTCTGTTCCTAAGCCTAGCTCAGGATATCACTCAACACCATTGACCAGCATGATCCTGGATCATAACCTTTTCTCAATGAGCTGTATGTGGTTGGAGAGTGCATCAGAAAAACCTAAAGATCCAGGACAGCCAAGATCAGAAGGACAAAGGTAGCAAGAGTGTATGGCAACAGATGGTTATAGAGGCATGAAAAACTTCAGCAAGATCTGCCCACACCTGAGTGAATCATTCATGGTAGTCTTACCTTACACAGATGAAAAATGGTGATTATGCACAGCAGTGCCAGCTGAGGCTCCAGGAGTAATTGGGGATTATGCTGTAGCAAGGTGCTTTGGAAAGTCTCACCACTGGATAATTTCTTGCCTGAATAACTGCTTTAAAAGTATATGCATTCTATCTTATTCAATTAAGATGAAAACTAAATTAAAGGGAGTGTTTCAACTGAAAATGTAACCATAACTTTGAACTGTAATACCGACTAATAATAATACATGATGATACACACTGTATGCCATCAGATTTTGCTTTCCAGAACTTCTTGAATTAATTGACTTTATGCTTTTTCCCCCCTTTGTGAAAAAAGGCTTTAAAGCATTTAAGAAAATATAACAATGGGAAATTTGAGCCCTGCTTGCTCAAACATGTTAGTGTTTATTACAGCTGTAGTCAATGAGTTTGCCAGTCTTGATGAACCATGCATAGGATCTCTTAATAGGCAGAAAGGGATAAACAGGAAAGAAGAAATTCAAGTGATTTTCCATACTCAAGTCAATGCATGTTAACGGATTATCATCTGAATTTCTCCTGTTGTTAACACCCTAATTGTGCTACAACCTAGAATGTATTGGAAAGCTCACAGCAAAAGGGATCCAGGCACAAGCAAATTGGAAATAATGGAAATTGAGAACTCAGGTGGAACACGTGCTTATAACCTTTCCTTGTCTCAGTCTCTATACTACTCAACTATTTCACATAGACCATGCACGCAGCAATATACTAAATGTCTAAAATATTTGTATTGATACTTTAATATGACACTGATAATGGAATATTTTTTATATTTTTAAATCAGTTTTCTGGCAGAGCACCTTTTAAATAATGCCCCAATACTTCATTTAAATCACTTAATAAATATGCAAATGATTTCTGTTTCCCTCCTGATATCTAAAATGATCTTGTGGGGTGGCACTAAACATGTCCACCCTTCCTCCATCTACACTTCTGCCTGATACCTCTTCACTGTCAGCTTTGCTGCTCCTGTTACTCGTAAATGTCCTCTTGCATAGACTGGGGATGGGTGAGCATCAACAGGCATGCTGTGAAACGGACTATACAAAAGTGCTGTCAGATACACAAAGTCACCAAACTGAAAAAAAAAATGAAGAAAATGTCTCTTTCTTTAATCTCTTTCACATTCATAGTAATCAGAGGGGTTACTTGTAACAACTGTGGGTAGAGCCCTGTGTGGATACAAATTTATATCCGCGGATGCGGATAACCGCGGATATAAATCGGTATCTGCGGAACCGCAGGGCTCTCCTGGGAACCGCAGTGGTGAAAGGATCAGAACGTGGGGCTGCCGCTCCCAGGAGCCAGTGCCCCACACCAACAGCTCCTCTGGCACGGCTGTACCGCCCGCAGCCCCACCCACTGTGGCGGGCATCAGGCTTACCAGCAGCTGTCCCTGGTCATGCTCTTGTGTTCAAGCAGCGCGCATGCTCCCAGACAGGAGACGCAGACAGCTGTGTGGAAGGGCTGGGGTCAGGGCTGGGGGCGGGGTTGCGGGCAGTACAGCTGCATGGAGGAACTACCATCGGCAGGGCACTGGCTCCTGGGAGCAGTGGCCCCACACATTCTGCTCCTTTCACCACTGCAGTTCCCAGGAGAGCGCTGCGGTTCTGCGGATACCGATTTATATCCGCACATATCTGTATCCGTGGTTATAAAATTGTATCCGCGCAGGGCTCTAACTGTGGGTACAAAAGTGCCGTTCAAGTTGACAGTGTCCTACTCTCAACTGTTAAGATGACTGCTATCATCTAAGGCCCAACCTGCCAACACTTAGATTACTAAGTGCAACACTTGAAGCCACATATATTCAAACTGAAGTACATGGCGGCACTCCTGTTAGTAAGCTCTGTGCCAAGTAGCAGGAGTTTGTGAGACTGACTCCATATACTGTAGTTTCAGTGGCCATATTGATTTTAAGACTGACCAAAAATGAAATTTCTTGCCATTTTATTGTATCCATTTTAGGAAGAAAACTACAAATAATGAGTTAATTGGTACACAAAATGAAGTACACAAGTCATAAAAGCAATATTAGAAAAGATGTGACATTAGGAACTAACTCCAATGCCATATTGATAATAGTCAAATACTACAGATTTAGCTTAAACCCAAATACACAAAAGGAAGCTTTAGTAAGTGGCCCTCAAGTACAGATAATGTTTGATTTTTAATGTGTGTGCGTGCACTTACCCCAACAATAACTCCTGCACCTGAAGGTGATGGGCTTTGCACATACAAACTTCATTTCTCTCAATGAAGCATGCATGTGAAAATTCTACCACCCGTGTGCATAGCTAGCATGAGAAAAGTGTGTGCATTTATGTTGAGTCCCTGCTGAAAAACCAGGCCCTAAATGACTGTTGCACATATCAGTTTTTAATCTGGCTACGGTCTTACTTGAAAATATTTTAGATGAGAGCCCTATACTAGGGTACTTTTTCGTGAGTATTTATTTGCTTGACAAGGTTCCAAAGACCAAATGAATTAACCAAGTATTTTTCCCCCAAAAGACTAAATGATGAGCTTGTACCAATGAATAAAATGGTGAGTTTAGTAGTCCGCAGAAAAATGGAGAATCTGTACCAGTTAACTGACTATAGTGGAAGTTACTTTAGCATTTTTTGTCATCAGATCTCCAGATGCTGATTTATTAGTAGAATCAAAACATGTCCCTATAGAATGTCTAGCTTTAAATATTAACATTTTATTGTTAGAAAGTTTAGCAACATGGACACTATGTTTAACATTCAGTATTTTGATCACTTCTCTTTATTTAGAACTGCTTCCTAAAAACTCACCATATATGTCGGTCCATTGAATACAAGTTTGGTTGCACAACTGATTTCACCTTGGTAATATTTAATACATCATTACTTCTTAAGTCTCCGTAGTTTTAACTTTCTGGGCCCATCTTCTCCCTCTTTCTTTCTTTTTTGGATAAGTTTCTCTGAAGGTTTGAAGTTAAATTTTAAATAAGAGGATAGCGGCATTAGGGATAATTCTTCAGTGGTTGCGGCTGGCTCATTTTGGTTTGTCTGTATTACTGGTATATTATTTTTTATGAAAACAGGTCTTGGGGGAATTTTTCCCAAAGTAAGTGACTCTTCATCAGACATGGCTTTTGCCAAGTCTTGCTTAGAAAACAACTTGGGATTCAGTAGGGACTTCTCCTCCGAAGATGGTTCTAAACAATCAGAGTTGCTCTTTTTCCTTTCTACGTCTCTGGGGATTAAATGACCCTGTTCAGAAGATACTTTCTTGCAATGGTCTAACCCTTCCTCTGAACCACAACTCTTTTGTTGATTCTGTGTTTTAGTCATTCTTTGACTTTCTTTTGGACCTGGCAGTGCTGACTCACAGCTACATGGAGGGTTACTGCTTAGAAGTCTCATCTTTAACCACTCTGCGGAGTGAAGTGTTTGCTGGCTGCTAGCATCATCTGGCTGTCTCTGATTAACATGATTTTCCAGTTCTAAGGCAGGAAGCTCCGAGTTGCTCTCAGCTGTATTCATGCAATCCTTTGGTTGTCCTATACTCCTACATTTTACTTCAGACTGAGGATCGGAAGGAGCTTGATGTTCCTTCTTCCTGCTCCCTATCTCCGAGTCCCCTGAGCCAAGATACACTTGCATTGTGTCCTTGCTGGTTTGAGGTTTGCTCATGTCACTGTTCCTTGTTTCTGTCCTTTTCACACTGTAATAAAAAAGTATTTTGTTTTGTTTAATAAAGAATTGTTACTGATTTTTACAGCCCTTTTTACAAATTCTGAAAGACTGCTAGGGCAACCCCATTCTGAATTTGGAAAAAGCTGGTCTGTGTATCATCTTGACAATAATGTTTGTCTAGTGTGGATAGTATCAAGCACTATCCATCTGATTTTCCACTGCACTAGGGGAATCCTAATTATTAATGACTAAGCTGTGAAGGAGTTCAAATTTTATTCTAACAGGCAGAACTTTAGATTTATTACAGATGTTAGGGGTCAATACTGCATAAGTGTATTGAATTCCTTCCCAAACTGGCTAGATAAAGAAGTGCTTCAAAATGTGACTATATGGTTTCAAACCATACACAAACATACATATGCACAACATGCAGAGAAAGAGGGAGAGTTAGTTTCTAATCTAATTTAGAATGTTTCTCTGGAATTTCTCCTGGTACATTTCAAAGTATTACTAAAATTTAACCACTACCCCGCTGATATCAAGCCTGTTCATCTGGAGGAGGACTTAGGTAAAATAAGTGGATGATATTCCAAAAGATATTAAAGGAAAATGGAATTACAAGAGACCCGATGGAGTGTCAGTACATAAACACTGTTCAACTGCACAGGTTACACACAAATCTAAACTTCACACAGGTTGGAAGATTAACATGATGCAGAAGTACAGCAGCTGCATACGTAGGATTTAAAGTCTAAGATCTCAGCACAGCTTCTCCCTTGCTGAAACTGCTTTCTGCTGTTCTGCTGATGCAAAACAGCTCTAAAGCTAGTATATCCTGCTCTGGGAGGATCAGTTCAGAAATGGGGAACCTTCCAGTGATGTAGAGCCAGCATAGCGGCTCCCATCCTAATCCCCTCTCTGTAGCCAGCACAGGGGATGTGACTAGGGCTAAAGGGGGTGTTGCCAGGACTCACTGCAATCCATTGATCCCCAGGTGCTGTAATAACCCTTTAGGGCCACTGGATTCTCTAACTTGCACCAGAGGACCAGTCTGACACACAGCTGGCCCAGGAATGGGGGAGCACAAAGCAGGCTTAAAAAAACTTTTGCCCCGACCCTCTTTCCCATCTGTATATTGCAGACTCATACACACAAGGAGGGGTGGGGTTGTGAATCTTTTTAAAAAATGTTTTCCACCAGATTCAAACATCACATGTATTTGTTTTGGCTCAAATTTTCTTTAGAGGAAGCATGTTGGCTCTGCCTGTTGCTACGAGGGATACAAGTGGGTTGTAAGGGCTCTATCTGGTATTCTATAAAATGAGAATGGGTGTTTTTATATGCTTATTCATAGTCAGTTGCCTGTCTATGTTACTAGCCTACAGTAATCCTATATATACAGAAAAGGGTGCACATAGTATCATTTCACTATGTATGCCAGACTGCATTACTCATTGTCAAATCATATATTTGACATCTTACAAATAGAAAAAAAAAAAGAGGTAGACGTACATCTTTTGCAAGATGTCTTGCTTTATCTCTCGAGTCGGAGGAATTTTACATTTTTTGTTTTCAGTAGATTCAGCAAAATATTCAGAGGTCCCACTAGAAAGCTTTTCTTTCTGCTCCAAAAGAAAACACAGGTTTAAAATGTGAGCCATTAAGCTTCTATTACTGAAAATAAAACTCCGCTGCTAAAGCCATGACTTACAGATGTTCTTTATTATTTTTAATCTGAACAGCCTAGAGAAGCAGCTCAGAATAAAATTCTTTTTAATTTTATAATATTTGGGACACCTTGGTCAGTTTGCTCCCCTCTCAGGCTCCCACTACACATATTTTGTATGTTAAGATATACCACAAACAAACAAGAATGTAATGTAAAGGATGTAGATTCCAGTCCATCTGAGGAAACCATTGGCAAATATCTGACATCTTTGTGGCTCAAACTGTGACAAATGCCAGGAATCTCTGTTGCAGACAGTGTGTTTGTCAGTTTTTTTTCTGAAGAGACTGAGTGGCGCAGTGGTCTATACCCTTATTCTCTGAAGAATTCCCATAACTTTCCATATTTACTAAAAATATGCAGAGTATTACTTACTCAATTTAAGAAGGCAAGGGTTAAACTTTTAATACTAACATTTTGATGATCAGGGCTTGACGTGGTTGGCCACTCTCAGACCACAGGGGGATTCTTTCTGGTCTCAACTAACAGCAGTACCATGGTTTTATATAATTTGGAGATGGGGAAAAAGAAAGGGAAATGCTCTTCTCCTCAAGCTGTGAGCATTTCCTTTCACAATGAACCAATTTTACACAGAGTTAGGCTGTTTGCTGACCTCACTGCTAACTCCCGGACACTTTACATCAGTGTAATCTTTTGAGGCTGTGTACAGAAGGGATAAGAACTTGGCAGAGTAATGTGGCGGGGAAAAGGAGAAATGGCATTGGGGTGGGTGGGAATTGTCTCTCTTGCAGAATTGTTCCTCTCCAATCTAGTTAAAGAACTCCATTGGGGCCAGCCTCTGCAGATGGGGAGACTGCGGTCTTACTATGCCCCCTGCACTGGACTGTGGGTCTAGAAGGGGCAGTTATGCTGCTAGGCAGCCAGCAAGAGCCGAGGAAAGCCAAGAGGGACTGTGGAGGCACAAAGCAAATGTGTACATGACCAGTGCCTGTGACATAACTTGGGAACCTGATGGCTCTGGGGGACTAGCCCTGTTTGTTCTTTGGGAGGGGGCCAAACCTCACCTCTCTCCCCAGTGAAATGACTCAGTGGAAACAGTTTCCTGCTTTGTGAGTGGAGAGGAGAGGAAGGGTGGGGGAAGAAATCTGGCCATTTGGGTAGTAAATTAAAAAAAAGTACAGATGTTATGAGCCTGATTTTCACATGTAAATTCTATGAACAATTGTGCGTGCATTAATAGTTTCACAAAGCCATCTGGAGCCAGACATGGGCACCTATTCTCCATGCACGTTTGTAGTAATGCGCACACAAAGTAAGTGCAGGCAAATACACATATAATTTCAATCTCAAAATCAAACCCCAATTATTTTAACATGAATCATAAATACCTGCCCCAACTCTCTCCCCCATTTTATATAATGCGTTCCCATAAGGTTGTGCATTATCCGGGAGGGGAGCCCTGTAAGGGGGTGTGTGTGAGGGCGAGCTGGTTTGGTTTTTATTTTTTAATTGGAAAGTGAATTTCACAGATTCATAGATTTTATGGCAAGGAATGACTTTTACAATCATCTAGTCTGCCCTCCTGCACAATACAGCCCAGAGAACCTCACCCAATAATTTCTGGATGATAGTCCTGGAGAGTGAAGTCCTATTTAGCCAAAGAACAATTAGAGACTGGGTAGCAGCAGTGTTTCCCCTATGCTGCCCCACCAATATGCTTCCACTCTGCCCTGTAGGGATTAACCCTAAGGCTGTTGAGGTAGCACAGTGTCAAATCTCATTCACTCTGCTGAGATTGCCAAAGAGGGGGTCAATTGAGATGTGACCACTTGTCCATTAGGTGCTTTTTTGGGAGGGGGGGTTGGGGAGAAGAGTAAATGGTTGGTGAAAAGTAGCACTTAGAAACCCGAGAATACAAAGTAGACAAAGGAAGACTGTACACAGGTGCTGCCCATACTCAATATGTCAGCCAATGAACCTCAGCTCTCACCTATACAGAGAACCCTACCTGCCTGGACTGTGTGGTGGTTTTGGAATGAGGATAAAAGGTCCCAGACAAACACTGAGACAACAAATATCATTTCACTTGTGACCTGAGCCTGGTTTGAAATGAATAGTTCAGAGGTGAAATCCTGAGAGATTATAATGCTACCTGAGACCTTTCTATTTTGTTTTCAAATGCTTCTCCCATAAACTGTGATAGAAAAGAGTTAAGGCATCAAAAATAAAAACCAAAATGATTTATATGTGAAACACTTCTGAACATGCCCTATAAGTACAGTGGATGTTCCCCTTGGAGCCACACCCTGTAAGTGCTGTATTTTGAGAGCTGAACAATTAACATAAGGAGTATGAGTCAGTCTCTGAATGACTCTGTGGGAACTAGAGAGCCTTTTGCTATTAGGAGTAAAGTAAACTCCCTAAGGCTGGAATAAGTCCACACTAGAAGGCAGAAAAGGTCATAAATAACAATAGCGGACACTATATATACCAATAAGATACTCAACTGTTATTGGTGATATTTCCTTTATGTTCTCTATTAGGCCTAATCATTTTAGTTAATTAAAAAAAATAAAAAACGCTGTATGTTTTGGGAATATTATTTATTTCCTATGGGAACTTCAAGGTTTGTTGAGGAAAGAAAAAAGGCTAATCTATTCTCATCCTGTCTAGTAATCCCAAATTCCTTTTGGCCAGTGAAATAATTAAAGAAAAATATTCCAGGCATAAAAAGGAGGACTGAAGAAACAGACATCATATAAACAATGACACAGTGACAGAGAAAAACGTCAAAGTGCCGCCAAACTTGTGACATGACTCTGAAAAAGCTGCGGGAAATGGGGGTTGCTGCTAACAAATTAAAACCAGATTTCTTGGCAAATAGTTAAAGAAAGATATTTACATTTGTATGGAGACTGGGTGGGCACAAAAGATTAAAATGCTTCTTTAGCCCTTGAACTGTCAAGACCCATTAGAAATCTTGTGTTCTTAAAATTCTAGGGTCAGCTCACTCCTTTTTGTCACTAAATCTCTGCATGTGAGAGCCTTCAGAAATCAGGCTTACAGAGAAAGAAAAGTTACTACTTACAAGCAGAGTTCTCTGAAGTTAGTATTATGTACATGTATTCTACTCGTAGCCACATACATGGCTTCTACCACCTCACTTCAGCAGGCAATACACAGCTCTATTTAATTAAGACTTTTGCACATAGGCAAAACTATTGGGGATGCATCATGAGTGCTTCAAGGATAGTCTAACCATCAATTCTTTTCCATGTAACCCTAATTTAGAGTGAAACAGCTGGCAAAAGCCAGGAAGCAAAGTGATTACCGTTTACAACTAATTACAGAAGAGTCTAGTTTACAGACATTTAACATTGGTTTGCTAAAGGAACTATTTCTGGAGCCACACTTGTGAAAATATCCCCACAGCTAATTATCCCAAAGAAGATAGAAAGGGTTGGGCACTTAGGAAATAGACCTGACAATACAGCTCATACAGACATTGAACTTTCTTGCATCAAAGATTTGGGATGTTGCACTGAAAGGAAGGTTTGTTTCCTGAGCGAACAACTCTTCCCCACTTCCCTGGTTTGGTTTCAGTCTCTTTCTAGCTTGTCTCAGCCTGTTTCTATGTTCAGCCTGGTTACGTTACAGTAAAACAATGGATTTCTGGATAATTACATTCTATCTCTGGTGGAGGAAATTTATTGGTTTTGAACTGCACTTACAGATTTTTATCCGTTTGTCTTGACCTGCTCATCAAGTGACAAACAATAGAAAATATCTATGAAGTCAGTTAATCGTTATTATTTGTAGTAGAGTAGTGCCAAGCAGTCCCAGATGGGAGCTCAGGGCTCCATTATACTGGGCTCTATCAGAGACAACATATGCCCTGAAGATCCTACAATCTCAACAGAAAAGACTGACAAAAGTTGAGAGTAAGGAAGTACTGTTATCCCCATATTACAGATATGGAACTAGGTCACGCAAGGGGTCAGCCTAGGATAGAGCCTGCAATTAAACACAGGTCACTTGAGACTAAGTTCATGGCCGTAACTTGATTTACTCTGGTGTAACTGAGAGAAGAATTTGGCCCTGTATCTCTATTACTGAGTACAGATGTAATTTGCATTCATTTTCAGCCACTCCGCTGAAATTGTAGTTTGGGACTTACTGTCTTATATTTTCTCTTAATAGTCTCTATCAAGCTATCACTTGATGAGCAGGCCGAGCCAGAATATTCTCATAAGGCGAGAACAAAGAAAGATGCTGCATGTAATTTTGTTTAGATTTACAGAGCTCTCTCCTTTTGAAATGATGCTCCTCTAGGATGGACATGAAATGGGGGGGGAGGGGGGAAATAGTAAGAGAAAGACTGAATACCACACAGCTAGATAAACTGAACTAAGATAAACTAGCAGAAATAGTTATTCCTTGTGGTTTAATGAAGTGCTACAATTGTAAAAACATGACTTTCTCTGAGGGCCAACCTAATTCATATTAAAGGTACTCAAACAAGACATCTGGCTCCACATGAGTTGGAGAATCCCTTTCATGTGAATGGGGGAGAGAGTGCCCTTGATTTGGGTAATCAGGTCTGACAAAATCCACAATCTGGTGGGATCAGCTACAGCCATCTCTATTAAAAGAGAGAACTAACCTGGATATTGTTAGTACCTTGGACATTAACATTTATTGGAGAGAATGCTTTTCCCTTCACATTCTGTATGTGCCTGTGCACTGGAAGAACAGAAAGGAAGAGGTCATGAAAGATAAAGTTCTTTGACTTTATATTTGGGCCCAGATCAGCCTCCTCAATACTGCGGAAATTCATTCTTCTCCTTCTCCTCCTCTTCCATCTCCATGGATTCCATAGCTTGTTGCAAGCAGGGGAGTTCCTAGCAGTACAGGTTCTCTAGAGCAGCACTGCCAAGA